AGGCGGTTGGTCCGCCAATAGGGCATAGGATACCATCGGCTGGGAGACTGACGCGTTTCAAGATAGGCACTTGGTCCACGAATGATTTTGTCGCCTTGGACTAGGAGGCTGACGCATTCCAAAACAGGCGATTGATCCGCAAAGAGGCACCGTCGCTGCCATCGTCATTGGTTAGTAAGAATTCAGATGCTTTCTCACAATAACAGCGCAAGATCACAAGTCTAGCTATTGTTACAACTCTATCTACTTAGCAATTTGATGGGAACGGAAATGCTGCGTAGTGCTTTGGAACATCGAATTCCGCCATCTTATGCTTTGTTTGCTAATGCTATTTCAAGGAGTTACTGCGTGGTTAGAGTAGTTGTAGTAGTTAGTAGAGAAGCAGTTATCATATCTTGCGAGATCACCCTTAAAACATGCTTTTTCAAACAAGACCGCCTTAGCCTTTTGGCATAGATGCGGTATAAGGTGTATACAGGCTGATCGGGAGTTCGATCCCTCTAAGTTTCAGTGGTTTTGCAACGACGTGCCTCTTCTCTGGAAGCGTCTCTTAGTTATGCTCATAGTTTGATCGTTATTTCAAGGTGGACCTACGCGTTAACTGTGAGCAGACGATGATTGTCAACTGCGGGCAAATTACTATCGCCCCTGGTATTTTTTGGCGATCACGATCATTATTAACTTGGACGGGATTAACCGTAACAATGTTTCTGTGATGTAGACGCGAAATAATGATTACACCACCACGAGAATGTTTGGCAGGCACTGCGCCGGATGCGCAGAAAAATTATGAGCACCTGATTCCTCTTTTATGGGCTGAAATCATGGAGAAGTGCAGGGCACCAGAGTTCATTTCATTCAAGAGTTGTATGGAGGAATGTTTTGCTCATTATTATGCTCACGGGAAGAGGCCGACTAGGCCTCGCCAGCAGGTCTCCGAAGGGCAAGCCAGGAATCACGGGGAAAAGAATGAAGGGGATTTGTATGGGGTTCGGCAATTCAAGGAATAATATTTTCTTTTCGCCTTCCTTGATACTTAATTCAGTCTGCTCCAGGGCTTAAAAGTGCATTTGCACGGTAAATTCAAACACGTTCTCGATAACATTTCAACCCATCTTTAAAAGCCTACAGCCGACTAAGAGCTGTTAAAATTGGGATGAATATGCGCAACAGGGATTTGAAGGGCTGTATGCAAAGTCGTTGGAAATCTATGAAAATGAGCATATCTTTTTGTGAGTTACGTCCCCGGTGAAGACCTACGCGAGACCTGAGTTTCCGATTAAGAAACGCTTTTTTGTTAATTTTGTCCTTATATCAAACACTTTTTAGGCCTCCTTGACCGCACTTATAGCGCAGTTGACGAAGCAGGGCGGTTCCTCTCTTCCTTGTTAGAGCCTGAGATTATTTTATCTTGAGAAGAAGAGTGCTCTGACCAAACAGCGTTGTACTTGTTCTGTTTACACGCGTTCTTACAACAGAGATGACTTCGCAATTTGCTGGATTTGCAAATGGGTACTCGTACGGTGCAACCGGGGACCCCGTGCCGAGGAATGAGGCCGATGTAATCCAAGATAAGTGGCTGACTCGCAGTGGGTGATTTTCTTTTGGCCAATAGAAATCAAAATATTGTTTTCCTGCAATAAATGCGCCAAAATCAAAGATTGAGCCATCGCGGAAACTCCATCTACGCGGTTAGAGAATTGGTACGTACCCGGTTGCATGACTTACTTGAGTGTCGAACTCCACTACCTTATGCTCTATCAAAACTATCGGAACTATTAATACCAAGAAGGGGAGACATTGCGTAATTAGGATAGTGGTAGAGGTCACTAAGGAAGAGCCATTATCTTATGGGATCCTTCGAATGTGCTACTATCAAATTGTCTTAGTATAGTGGTGTTGCGGCATGAGAATGTAAGGGCTCTGTGTTAAATCCCGTTAGAAATAAACATTTTGGATTACCTTCTTTGAAATGAGAATTATCTTGTTATCAAGTTATGTTGTGCTTTGGTCACCTTTTTAAAGTAAGCCCGCGACACAATAGCTAGATAATCATTAGCGTTAACTGCTAGATTACTACCGCTCCTGATGCAGTTTGTCGAGACACGTATTCGTGCTGAGGCAGAGTTAGTATAATGGTTGGTGGTCTACGTTTCCAAGACTTCATGAAGTTGCGGGTGCCTGTCCTCCTTTGGATATTATTTTTGCATATTATGATTTTCCTTGGCCGAGCCAAGCTTCAAGCTTTTTAGATGATAACTGTCGGCCTTTATTTCATATAGGTGAGAGGTACT